GAGGCCACGCCCTTGTGTAAATGTTAAGTCTGTCAAACTTTTGTTTCAAAAGTCAAAGGCGCACAATGTTGATGAATGAGCTGAAGCATTTTCACAAGAGTTGCAAGACGTTGGAGTGAAACAGAAAAACCCAGAAGCAAAAAATACGACAGCTGGGGTCCTGTGCAAGTGTTTCCATAATGTTCTCCATTCTTATCGCCAGGAAGGCGAAAATAAATGTGCACTTTACTTCCTCTTACTGTAGTTGAACAGAGAATTATGAGGGCTTGCTAGCATTTAAGAACTCATAAGTGTATTTTCCGGTGCACACCCCCACGCTCTCCGCACCTCCCACATAATGCCAAAATTATGAACTTACCCCTGGGCACAAGCAAAAAAAATTAATTGCCATAGTGATGCAGAAACTTCCAGTGGGGGGTAACCAACCCAAGAACATTTGTTAGCTAGTCAAACACAAAACCTAAAATACAAACCCACTTTGCGAGCCCTAGCAAGTGTCAGCTACAAACTATTAAAAAGACATCAGAAATGGGGGTGAGGTTTGGGGGTGGACAGGTTTACCGAGAAATACCTGAGAAACTGAAGAAAGAGTTTTATTACCTGCATTTCCGTTTGCCACAAAGCAAAGTACAAGTCCAAACTGAAGCTGACTTCCTGTTGTAGACGCAGCAGCAGTAGCAGCCAGTAGAGATAGGTACAGATGGAGTTGGGGGCGGTGGCGGTGCGGAGCGGGGACAGGAGTACGTTGCCTGGCAGCCGAAAAAGCGGAAACGTCCATTTTATAGCGGAAATATATTCTTATGCGGAGACGTGGAGATGATTTATGTATGTTTTGGCATTACGTGCCACAGCAGCATGAGCAGCATGAGCAGCAGCAGCAGTGGCAGTGGCAGCAGCGACAATGCTTTGTGTGAGAATTTCGAATTAAATTCCTTGCCCCAAAGACAGCAGCTTATGAGAAGCAATAAAAAAAAATATGTATAAAGAAACTTGCAACAAAAATGGGTCAGACTTTTACAAATGCTGCAATTATTTGCATGCTCGACTCTCAAGGATTTCTATTTGCTCGGCTTGCCTTTGTGGCTTGAGCAAAGTAAAATGGGGCACTATGGAGCTAGATGTGCGTGTCTTTGCGGCGCCTCGGCTGCAAAATCAGGTTAAGTGTGCTTCATATGCGTATTTTTGCTGACATTATTATAAGCACCTCTACCCAACTTTCTGCATTCCCCATTTCCAACAAGGCCTAACTTGCCGCTCTCGATTACAGTTGCAGAACTGTAACTTTTATAGTTGAAGTTGAAAGCATGCATGCAACAGCAACTGCCACAGCAACTTTTATTTTTTGCAGAAGCATAATAATTAAAAAACAAAACAACATTTTCGAATGTAAAAAGTTCACGCAGTCTTGCTGGCAACATTTTCGCGTTTGGGTTTATTTTTCTTTTTTGGTACCTACAAAGTATTGGCAAATAATTAAAAACTTTTTCTCTGCTGAGCTAATGGAAATGGCAAAGTTTGTGAGACTCAATTCAGCTGACATTTTGCAATTTATTGAAAACTCATCGATGCCACGATAAAATATACAGCTTACATTTCAAAACTCATTTTATTGTCTTCAAAAGCTTAAAACTATTTAAGATTCCTTCCAAAACTATGCTCTTGAGTTTCCATGAACACAGTTCGCTCCCAATTTCTGTACAGTCTTGATTTTTTTTACTTCTTCGAAACATTTATTTATTAAATTAAAAAGTGTATTCTTTTAAAGGCGAAAAGTCATTGAGCAAAGTTGTATTCGGGTATTGCAAATAATGACTCTATGTATAGATTTAAAGTGTGATTTGTAATTAAAATTGAATTAACTTTAAATCATTCAATTAATGATAGATACAGATACAAATAATATGTATACACACATTCCGCAAATGTTTAATGGCAAATGCCTGCAGCCAAATAAAATAATGCATGGCGTTTAATGAAATTTACGGGTCAACACCTCGCATATCCATATACATATGCATATATATATGCGCACATACACATTGTTTAAGTACACACCCACATATACAAATAAATACATGTACTTATATATACAATTCACATGCCAGATCCACAAATGTATTTTTCGCACTCTTTGTACTCTTGTATTCTTTACAGAACTTAATCATTTATCTGTGAATTTAATTAGTTCTATGGACAGATAAACCATAACTGTATGTAATATTATAGATACAATGACTAAATGAGTGAATGAGTGTATTTGAATAATTATTATTCATAACTCTAACATTCCCTAGTTTGTAGCAATGATTTCAGTACTGTAGCAGTCAAAGCTAAATTATATTTCTTTCACAATCACGTCTGCTTACTTTACTTTATTCACAACGATTGATTTCTTCTTCTTCAAGTTGAGGATCACACAACTGATATCGATCGATATCAGTTGTGTGATGTTCTCAAAGCTGTTCATTCGTCGACACTGTAGTCTTTTTGTGCTATTTTTGCTATTTCCGAGCTTCATTGCCTTCTGCCGTTTTCTTTTCCCATTTTGCCCAGCATGCCTCTCCTTCCCTTCAGCCCTTCCTTCGCTGGCACATAACTGTGTGCATTTTTTTGCACTCGCATTCGCGCAGACATTTGTGCTGCGAATGAGTGCATAACATAAGCATTTATAGAGGCCACCAAGTAATGCGGAGGAGTGTGCGACAGATGATTTTGATGTCGGCGTCTGTTGGTGTCTGGCAATGCCAGTTGCCATTTACTGTTAACGCGTTAACGTTAACCGTTTCTTTTGCTCGCTCTTGACAACGTTTTCCCTTATTTATTTATCTTTTAAATATTTTTTCGTTGACTTTTGCAATGTGTTTGCTGTTGTGCCTCCAACTTTGGTTTCCACATGAAATTTTATGAGGAGAGTTTCGCGTATTGTTCGCAGTTGACGTTGCCATTTCAGATAACGAAAATGCTGACAGACAAGCAAAACAGCTCACAGGTGCTGGAGCTGAAGTCAAACAATGCAAATGCAAATGAACATGCAGACATATTTGTACAGTCTTATATGGCACATGGACACATACACACTCTTATATTTGAGAATAACGTTGTACAATTATATCGTTATTTGAATCAAGCGAATGAAGTCCGAAAGTAAGGCTGTTAAATAGTAGAGATACGGTATTTTTAGCGACTTTATTCCTTTATTCCTATAACCTTTGACCTGCGATGATCTGGATAAAACTTTTTGGTTAGCTAAAGGACTAAAACCTGACCTGATGCACAGCCAAAAATATAAGAGATACATTTTGAATGAATACAATTTGAACTAATCCATTTATGTAGGACAAATCAGAAGTTTGAGAGTTAATTTCTTTTCCTTTCTATCTTTGACCAACCATAAAAAATGAATTTGGATCCAAAATTTTCATTACCGTAAGTTTGTCTATACAGACAGAAATTTTCTTTATTCTAATCTCAAAACTGGTCAGTTTATTACAAACAATAACTTTTTTTATTATGGCTTGATCTCAAGAATAATAAAATACGTACTTACTTAAAATACTTAAAGTGCAACTGTTATTTTGTTTTCTCATAGGAACATTTTCTAACTAGTTTTCTTGGATGTCCTTGCACATTGAATATGCAGAATGTTTAATTTGTTTGAACATAATGTAGAGCGCTTTTCTTCAACATGACCATTTTGTTGTCAATAAAATTTAAACTTTGCTTTGGTCGAGGGGGGACGGGGAAAAAACTGGTAAAAGTTTTGCTAGCCTTCGGTCCGTTGCCTCTCTTGTGTCCTGTCCGTACATCTTACTATGATTTTGTTCATTTTTCTGGCACTTTGGGCATACAAGAAACTTTATTAAAAAGTATGCAAGACATTTTTGCATCTATGCATCGCTCTTTTGCTCCAAGGAAGGATAGGGCCTTATGATCCACATTACTTTTTAGTTGCTGTTATGTTGCTGATATTGACATAAAACGGAAAAATGAAATTGCAATTTTTTGTGATAAATTTCAATGAACAGGCAGGTTTTTCTCCCTGTGTGCCGTCCTGCCCAGGTCCACAGGGTGTATGAAGAATTGAAAATATGAGGCATGCGAAATGCAAATAATTTGAGTGCACTTTATTATTCAGTATGAATCAAAGCTGTGTGTTTCATGAGCCATGAAGAATACCTAGCCAGAAAATACACGTTAGCGAGATATTTTGGCATACACACATTCACAGCAAATTTTATCGATTATTTCCATTTTCCGCAAATTAATTTTCATAAACTTTCGTCCGGGGCATACAACACTGCATACTCTTCATTGAATGATAACTTTCAATTGAAGACATACTCGAAAATGAAATTTGGTAAAGCATAACATATAAGCCAAAAATTCAAAGAATGAGGACCATGTTTTAAACAATTTTAGCAATTTATAATTGGTAGGCGAGGAGGACTGGAACAAGTAGTAAAAATTAATTCCAAACAAGAATGTCGAACTATTAGAGATATTGGGGTTTTTTTTTTTGTCTCGAATGGAGTTGGACTTTATAACGCGTCAATAATAAACATATGAGTACCCGTAAACGTATATTTGCACTGAAAATTGCAGAAATTGCAGACAACATAAACTATAAATAAGTGAATAAAATGAGGCGGAAACTTTTTCAGTGTGCAGCGTGAAATTGAAATGCAAAATATTGAAATTGCAAGTTGACGTTCAGTTTTTCTGTTGTGGCTGTTTTGCAGTCGAAACTTTTTTTATTTGGCCTGTGGGTTTGCCAGCAAACCGTCAATTGTGTGTTTGTGTGTGTGTGTGTGAGTATGGACTGCTTTTTAAGTTTTTGTAGCAAAATTCTGTGCTAAGCGAATGTAAACTGCAAAACGCAAAGTAAATGGGGTAAATTGCCGTCTTTGCGAATTTGGCAGAAACTTTTCAATTTACATTTGAAATGCTGTGTAATTAGCAAACTATTAACTAATATGTATGCAATCCATTTGATCCTACAGCAACCGGCTTGGCCAATCACCATGACAGTCTGACTCTAAGTCCTGCCGAGCACAGCGTCGTCCGCTACACTAACGAGTCTCTTATTGTGCAGTGTCGGAGCCCCGATCCCGATGTGAAGCTGCATTGGAAATCGCCAAAAGGTGAAATACTCCAAGAGCACAAAGGACGCATACACATCGAACAAGCGGCACCTGGTGAGTCCTGGCGAAACAATCGATTGAGCACAAAGAGAAAGAATTTCCGTGCCAACAGGCACAACAAACAAATCCAATTAATTGCAACGTTTTTAAACACTTGCCCAGAGTTTTCCGTTGGAATTTTACTTGACTTTTATTTTTTCAAATCTCTATTGAACTCTTCCGTTGTTTTAATCAAGTAGATTAGGGTTAGAAGTATCTACGAATGAGCGCACGAGACAAACAGATAAAAGAGCTAAGCATGAAAAATGTATTGGGACCAAAGATCCTAATAAAATAAAATAAAACGGATTCGAGTTAAAATTAAAATACATAAATTAAATATAATATTTGTGTCACTTTTTTAAAATTAAATATTTAATAAACATTTTCACAATAATCGATCAATAAACAATGTTTAATTAATGTTAACATTTGATATTAATTGCCAGAACTATATCGATAGATAAAATAATCGATACTGATAATTAACGTATTTCTTTCACAATTCAGAGTTTGATCCAAAATATAATAAGAGGAGTTCACAAGCAGCTAGGGATATATACAAATACTATAAATTGAATTTTTGCATGCAACAAGGCATCTTGTAGTCGACCAATACAAGCTGATGCACTCTATCGTGATTGTTTTTATTCAATTTCACTACTTTCCATTTTCCACCGCACAGAACAATTGAAAATAGTTTTTTCACACATTGCGCTGGCGGACAAGGGTAATTGGAGCTGTGAGGCCGTTGGAGGAGGGCTGCATAGTAAATCGTTCGATTTGATTGTGTATCGTAAGTACAAAGATTGAACAACATTCAACATCCACGCTCATTAATTTTGCATTGTATTCTCGCCACACGCAAACACAACACATCCATTCGCACACAAAGAGAAAATTACGTTCACCGAAAAGGATACCGTGTCGACCGTAAAGGAGGGTCAAAATGCTACCATATTATGCGAAGTGAAGGGCGAACCACAACCGAATGTCACCTGGCATTTCAATGGACAACCCATTAGTGTGGAGGGTGAGTATCCAATCTTAATGAGCTTTGCCCAACGATGATATTTTTTTCGCTTTACTGGATTTTCTCGTTGCACCCGCTTATCATGTTTCTCTCATTTTGTCAGCAAACGCTCCGAAATTCCGTATCCTGGCCGATGGTTTGCTCATCAACAAGGTAACACAAAATGACACCGGCGAGTACACGTGCCGGGCATACCAAGTGAATTCGATTGCTTCAGATATGCAGGAGCGCACAGTTTTGATGAAAATCGAACGTGAGTGTGATTTATGATTTCCCAACTCATACAATACAATGCACATTGGACAAATAGTTGTCGAACCGAGGATAAAGTCGAGGAATTTTATGGCAGGAAATTGATTGATAAAGCATCAATTTAAAAGATAGAAATGATGATTTAGCTATTAATTTGATCAGATATTTTAAAGTCATAAATGATCAATAAGTTTCTTATATATATTTATAATATCATGATATTATTTGTAAGCTGTTTTATTTCATATTCTGCTTACAAAATTAGTTAAGTTCGAGGAGTTTTCATCTTCTGTAAAATGTATTTCTGTTTTGCCCGATGTTTAAACTTTTCTTATTATCATGCAAAAACTTATTTTATTTGATTACATTTCTATTTACGATGCATGTTCAACCCAGTGTGCTTCTGTTATGAATGGCAAGAAAATTACTTGAGAAACTTTACGAATTCCTCGAAAAAAAACTTGTTTTTTGTGTGTATTTTAGTATGCATCGCAGTGGTTGGCAAATAGTTTTAAGAGCACGGAATATTTTAAAATTATATACGCTTAGCTCGCATATGTTCTGTGCTGTGCAGTTGGTGTGTGGCACACATGCAGGAAATGGCTTTACTAGCGTACATTTTTGATTTATGCAGCAATCGAATGAGTTTCATATATTTTATAGCATACTATTGAGCGACAGCTGAAGTCAGAAAGCAGACAAATTGCTTGATAAATTTAATTAATTACTGACTTTAATTGAATATGGATAGATAAGCCCCACTGGACGTCGAAACAGCACGTTGGCCTTCAATATGCATACATCAATGGAACGGCGAGCATCATGTGCGAGGCACAAGCGGAGCCGCCAGCTACCTTCACCTGGCATCGCAAGCAGAAGAGGCTGGAGAGCAACGGAAAACAGTACATCATCGAAACGGATAACTATTGGTCGCGTCTGACAATCCGTGTGCTGGATGCCAAGGTCTTTGACAACTATCGATGTCGGGCACACAATCATTTGGGCAGTATTGAACGCATTACGCGACTGGATGAGGGCGAGAAGCCACCGCCCCCATTTGTATTTCAGCTGCGCGGCTTCAATTCGAATACGTTTGATGTGGATGTGAGCGCACAGCGTGATAAGGATCAGCGCGGTCCGATGGATGTGAATGGTTTTCGCATTGAGTATATGACGGAGCTGGAATTCAAAACTGATGCCGGCAAATGGACGAATGCCAAGCGCAAGGATTTCCCATTTGAAGAAGGTAACCAGGGGGGCAGCTGCATCAGCTTGCTGTGACATTTAATCTATAGCTTTTTATTTTTGTCTGTGACAGGGGCCAACTTTCTCATAACGAACCTGGAGCCGGATACTGTCTATCTGATACGCGCCGCATCGCGGAATCTGGCCGGTTTCAGTGACTACACCAAAGTGGAGAAGTGTAGGACTCTGTCGCTGGAGCCACGGGTCTCAGCCGGAGCTCATCTGCCGCCCATCTATGAGCTGCTTTCTGCAATGTTTCTGTTGCTGATTTTGCTGCGACGTTGCCATTGAATCAATGCAAATCGATAAGCAGAATCCCCACTCCATGTGCTTTGTCTAGCTTTAAGGCATCTTCGCGTTAACCTCAATAAGTCTGTTTTCTCAATACCATAGCACATAACCTAGCCTATAAATATATGGAAAGTTATGTTAATCTGCACCTTAACTGGACTTTGAGAAAACCGGCTTTGATTTGCTATTCGATTGCTGCTCGTGTTATTTGACGTGTGTACTAATTAATGGTCTAAGTTGTTAATATAACCACTCGTAAGCATAAGTTTATAAGAAATAACTTCCGTTTAAGTAAACTTTTGTTCAAGCCCAATAAATTAGTCAAAATTTATAGCCAAACAGATAACATCGTATATAAGCGCAGTGCTTAGTCTATCGCTGAAAATTGAAAGTTAAACTTTATGCAATCCATTTGAAGTATGAATTATATACCGGCAGCTGCGTGCATTGATGCCAAAAGGTCGTATATTAATTGCCCTAGATATAACCTAAAATAGAAAGATAATCATAACAAAACTATCTTCCAACTCTTTTTCATAAATACTGGAACTATTAATATCAAACAAGATGTTTTGTGAAAAATCTATGCATTTATATACCATTTCCTCTAAAATTGAACTAAACTGTATCAAAGGAAGACCCAATTGAAGACACTTACTTTTACTAATCCACCTCAATCCTCTAAAAAATATATTGAATAACATAAAAAGGGATCATAATATAAATATTTGACATTTTTTATACAAACGATATACAATATTCGACTACATAGCCAAAGAAAAATATATATACCAGATAAAAGAAAGAAAATTCAAAATCAGACCAATCTACTAAAACCAAAGTAAAATTCAACTAAAAAGCTGCATTTTCATATGTGTCATTCATTTAAACTACAAAACCACATTTAAAAATATAATATGAATCTAGATTTTATAAAATATTATATATCAAGTAAAAATGTTGCCAATGATTAAATGTTTTGCGGTTTCTGTGTGCCAACTGTGGGAAATACATATAAATAAAAGTAAATAAAATAGATGAAATCGCTCTTGATTAATTAAATGTTTCAATATCTAATAGATGGAATGTGATTAAATTAAATGTCGATTTTTTCTATGCAAAATAATGTTTATTATTATTTTTTGTCTCATTGTCAGCTTGGTAGTTGAGTCCTTTTGATATTCTTACATAAGTTAATTGCACCTTAAATAAACAGAGTTTTGTGTTAGCTCAATTCGGGTTGGAAATACTTATTCCTGTATGCAAGAAAAGGTAAAATCAATCTGTCGACACAAATTGGCAACCCTTTGAACCCTGTTACTATGAAATATTCAAGGAATATTTGGAATTCAAAAGGGGATGTCAGCTGTCAGTAGTAAAAAAAAGGAGTGTATTAAAATATGTGTAACTGCTTTTGTGTATTGGGAACATTGTTAAGCAATCGTCGAGCTGTCAATGGTAACTGAACAGGTGTCAGTTCGAAAATAAAATCAGGTGAGAGCAGTTCGGGTTGAAAATTGTTGTGGTATGCCAGAAAATTTTCAGTTAACATGCAAGATGAGTAAGTCTAATGGTTGCACTTTCAAATTGATTGGCTGGAATCTAACTCATAGATTTCTATTGTTTTCCCTTAAAGATGCAGCACGAGCCTATACAAGATATTTGAGTGCACGAATACGCGTTGAACGGTTAAACAGATTGCTCTCAGAACATCCGAGCTCACTGAAACATCACGATCGACTGCCTGCTGGAGGACGGACAATGCCATCTACTTTGTCGTTGAGTATATTGAGTTTGTGTCCCGCGGATTCCGCAAGCTGTGTGTGCGATAGACCAACGCGCAGCAGCACAGTGAAACCACTTAAAAAGAAAAAGGATCGCCATAAAAAGATTAAAGACTCCATAATATTGGCAAAGGATCATCAAACTAAACTCAACCCCAAATCAACTTGCAAATGCAAATGCAAGTATCCAATTATAGTTGTGCCTGCGAAGCGAAGGCTTGAAAATGAAAAGAAAGAAAAGAAAGCAAAGCCGGAAAAAGTGAAGAAGGTCAAATGTGTACCTGAGAAAAACCGCGAACAAGAGAATCAATTGTCAAATCCGGCTGTAAGATATGCTGAACCTGAATTAGATGAAAAAATAGAACCTGACAAATTCATTACAAAGTGTCCGGGATGTGAGAAAATACTTGACATGTCAAACCAGTTGGGTGTGCTGAAGGACAAACTGGAGAATCAGGTCGCACAGGACATAAATCAAAATGAGCAACTGGAGGAGTTGAACTATAAAGTAAAGCAGCTGTACGGGACAATTAATACGCTCAATGATATATGCAAGAATCTAGAGAGCGCTGAGGATAAGTCAACAAAGCAACGTCAGGATATAACGTGCGAATGTGGTACAAGTAAGACGACAGCTAACTGTGCCCGTCTCAAAATCAAACACGCACTTGAGCGCAAGACCTCAAGTCTGTGTCAGTTTTGCAAGAACAAGAATCTTCCGGTGCTGGGTTCCATGAAGGACGAACTGTCTAACATGATGGGAGATCTAACTGTACGGGATGTGGCATTGACGATTTTATTGCGGTCCGACAACATTTACCATGTGAATCTAAGGGACATGGAGACGGGCGGCGACCTCGGCTGCATGCTAGTCAACTATGATGGCATCCAGGAGGCCAACAACTTGGGCCTGTTCAAGGACATACTTACGATCTGTGTGACCGATGTGCGCAACACAATCGAGAGTAAGGAAGCTATTTCCGGTGTCCTCAACTTTGAGTTCATAAAAGTTAAGCGTTAAAAGGGAAGTACAAAATTGCGCCCAAAACCCTACGAACATGGGCTGCCCAAAGAGCAGTACTCATCGGACTCCTGCCTAAGCGACATGTGAATGCAGCTCCAACTGATAACCAAATATTATTATCATCTCAATATTTTCCTCCAATCCAATAAGGATGAAATCTACTCAAGTATTTTCTCAAATAAATAGCTAAAGTGGCTGATTGTGACTGTGACTCAAAATAAGGTAAATAGCATACAAATCGCCTTGTCTGACAAAGGCTAACTCTGAATATAGCTATATTGTATATTCATCTGGAGGCGATAATTAAGGAATCGCAAGCTGCTCAATCTGTCTTTCAAAAATTCCAAATTTTAATATGTTTTTAATTTTTTTAATAAACAACAAACAAATTGAGATTATCTAAAGTCAGGACAGACAATTACTTTCATTCTAATTCAAAATCAGCGCAAATAAGCAAAACGATTCTCGAATTCAGTTCGAGTTTGAAAGGGGTCAGCCTGTACAGTTCCTGGATTTATTAGATTGGATCTAAAGATATAACGCGATTCTAAGCAAGTAAAATGTATTCATTGTTTAATTTATTTTGATTGCCTCATGCTCAGGGAAATCGCTCTGCAGCTGACGCAGCTTTGAAATTGTAATCAAAATGAACGCTAAAATCAAAATTTCGGTGCAACGGTGCTGCAAAGGAACCGAAGAACCGTCAAACCGCATGTCAAACGGTTCATTTGGGCAAATAGCGGTTTGTCAATCAGCCACGTAGCGTCAACTATCCGGCCAACTGGGTGAGAGGGGGGAGGAATACATTTTAGCCAGCATCTGGTGTTACTAACTCCTGGGGCCACGTTGACAGCCGCATAAATCACACGAATGCCAAACAGCGCGGATGCTGATGCGCAGGCCGATACACAAAAATGACAACAACAGCCGCCATATTGTGGATTCTGCTGGGCCTCAACTGACTTTTATTGCGAACCGCGCTTTAAATACTGTTTTTCGTTGTGCAAAATTCTATTTGTGCCATAATGGCATCAGCATTTGGCATTAGCAGCAGCGCATCAGGACGCATCAGAGCATCGGTTGTTTGGGTCAATAAAGGGCACTGCCATTTGTATAATTGTTTTGTGTGCCATTAAAAAGGGGCAGACATTTCTTGCAGCCGGCAAACATCACTCAGCAATCAACATTCAACTGTCAAAGTCAATTCGTATAATGAGCCAATGTCAGTCCAGTGAAATTCATGTTGGCAAACTCTTATTTAAACGGCAGCTGCAGCCATGAAACTCTTTAAGGGCAACTAAGTCGCTCAACAAAAAATAAGCAGCTCTTTTTTCTTTTTGGCCCAAATGGTGTTAGTGGGACGCGCTCTTATTGGCTTAAATCGATGGCGCTCGCTACTCTTTTATATACCCTGCATGGGCATATCTATAAATCGGGTAGAGCTAAGTTGCCCAAATACTCGAAATAAACATCGCCAATCAGTTGTGAGAGGAATACCCTATTAAAGGGAATCAGATATGTATATGTATATGACTAAAGTGCTTAAGTGTAAGTATACAGATATAAATATATATATATATATATTGATTGGTGTTTAAAAGTCGATCACTTAAATCAAGCACACTTACTCGTATTCATTTGTCTTTTTTGGCTGGCCGCAGTAAAGTCTGTTGGCAGCATTGGAAACTGCAGCTGTCATTTCAATTGTTTTTTTCGAGTCTATTAAGCCAATGCCATTTGCATGTCAGCACCCCTTTCATTAGCTTTATCGAAAGCGCATATTACTCTTTTATATACGTTTATATAAAATAAATGAAATCTAATGAAAGTTTTTGCCGGATGGCATTTAATTTTTTTATTTCTGACTTAAGCTCTCACAGCAAGAACGAGACCAACAAGCATGGAAAAACAGCTGCAGCTCAATGGACTTTTAATTTGCACTGCAGCTAAAGAAGTGGAGGTTGACGAGGGGGAATTATATGTATATTTACAAGTATTACTTATTAAAATTATTAAGGCAACAAATACATGGTAAAGGGCCTTTCTCGTCTTACTTTGTTGATTCAACTGCATCGGTGGGTAATCAATTTAAACTAAATTCAACAATTTTGTAGGCTTGAACACAAAGTTAAACTATCTTCAAAACAAATTTAATTGGCGCACAGGGCATTTGATATGCGCTCTGAGAAGCCAACACAAATAAACTGCTGGTCAAAAGGCCTCTGGATAAAAGCTGTTTAAAATGTGCATCGAGGAATACACACAAGCAAACACACACACACACACACACTCACACATCTAACTTTGGCATAGGCTAAACTTTCAGTCAAAAACTGAGCCAACCAGCAAAAACAACAACGGCAACACCAACACCAACCAGAAAGTTCTGGCCCGCTCAATTCCCTCTGTGTTCAAATTAGTGAGTTGGACTCGGCTGTTTCCGCAGGCAGCATAATTAATTGCGGTAATTAGTGTGTTAGCAACAAACAGCAAACACACGAAAAACAAGAATAGCAACAAAACCTGTAAGTAGTTCGGTAGTGAACTCTGCTAATAGAAGACATACCCTGTAATATGCCATAATATATGTGATTAATAACAAAATAAATTACAAGTAACTAACTGAACTTGGCAAATATAGATTCAGAATCAAATTGAAAAACTTTTGAAACACGAGAGTCCTTAGACAACATTCAGTTATTCTGTGTTACTCGTAAGGCTCCCTTTTGAGCTTAAAGGGTATAACAAGAGCAAGAATAGAAGGAATAAGGTGGCAGTAGAACTATGAACAGGTAGCACTATTTTCCAATGCAACTGGCGCATTTACTTTGCTAAAGATTTGTGCGCCATAGAAGCTCGCTGGCATATTAGTTCTGACCAAGTTTTATTTACGACTTTGGCCCAACTGTTGACTGTTGTTGTTGAGAGGCCCGCGGTGCTAATTTAGTTTCTTCTTTCATTGCCGTATTGCGGTGCCTGGTGCCTGGTGCCTGGCTGGCGTCATTAGAAATCTCAAAATGATTTATTTCTAAGCAAACAGATAGGAGGGAATAAAGGCGACTTCTGGTCAGGAGCAAGAAACAAAACCGAGACTTCAAAATAAATCTCAGTGGCAAAAAAGGAGTAGCCACAACCATTGCTAAAGATGCTCCCTCTTTCACTTAGCCGCAGGCTGCAAGTCAAGGAGGCGTCGCGGCAAAGTCGAAGACTTTTTGCAGTTCAGTTTAATTGGTCACTTGGCGCGCGCTGAAAAACAATTTAATTTTCACCATTTTCTTACTATCTCGATTGTGCACGATGCTTGCCAACGCACTCATTCACTCACTCCGAGTGTGTCGAGTGCTGCCATATCTGCTACAGACTTAACCAGGACGATGGCTACTATCGCTATCCTCCATGTTCACTTTTCCATCCAGCTTCGGGCGCAGTCGTTTATGTAATTAAGCGATGCATACTTTTCCGCGCCATGCTTTTTAATCAGCTGCCAGCAATAGGGTAAATGTGTGTGTGTGTGTGTCTGTTGGTTACTTCAATGAGCAACGTCAGTTGGGTGGTAAATCTTTTGTGTGTAATTAAAAAAATTACAATTTAATGCTTTGTAAATAGCTCGGCGTTCAGTTATCGACACGACCGCAGTCGTGTGCTCTCAAGTTGCTCTAAAAGCAAAACGGCAAGAAGTGAAAAGTGAGCAAAAGTCTGAGCAGAAGTTGAGAAAATGATGAATGAATAGACTTTGATTACTGATGCTCCGTGAATTGGAAATGCATAGATATTAAAGCCTTGAGAATATTAAATATTAAATGCAAATTTATATTATTACAAACGTATTTCTCAAACTTAAAAATGCCATTTCAAATTTGTTGAGTTCGAACTGAGGAATTTAATTATTACGCAACAGCTGAAACAATTCAAATACGAACAACTCAACAAAAATAATATACAATGTGCAGATCATACTTTCGGGAAAACATTTTGCTAACAATTCACACACAAGCACAGAAAATCAAAAACAATGCAAATATTTTTACATTCGCATTGCTACTTAGCAAACCAAATGGCAAATCATGCATGAAAATTGAAAATTATGTTCAAAATGCACTCTGCGGCAACGAGCAGCAAAGCAGCAAAACTGAAGCAATATGCAACAACAATAACAGTTGAGTGGATATGTGGGTACATATGTGTGTGTGTGTGTGTGTGTGTGTGTGTGTGTGTGTGTGTGTGTGTACGTTAGCTCCGAAGTAGTGCCATATGCCATTTGGTGTGCCTGGCTTGGGTTTTGTCAAAGCAATGAAGTGCGACAGCTGTGTGTTTGTGTGTGTTTGTGTGTATATGTGTGTGTGAATGTGTGTGTTTGTTATGCCCTGTGGCTTTCAAAAATACGTAAGATCGCTACACTGAAGTTATGATAGAAGGAAGCATCTCTGGTATCAACATCAACAAGCTAGTTAATCTGAACACGGGCATATAAAATAACAATTTAATTTGCTGTTTACCGACAACAAAGCAAAGCAAATAGCGATATCAATTTGAGTGCATGGGTACAGGGTATTGCCCAGTGGCGCACACTCGACTTGAGACCTCCGATTCGCAAGTGTACGTCGAGCAAATATAAGCAGGCCACCGCTGCTGTCAAAAGAAGTAAACTTGAAGCCAGGCACTTCATAGTGTAAATTTGATAGAAAATATTTTTGTGCTTTGCCAGGATTTCCGCAATGGCTCCCAAGCCAACTAGCAACTCTCACCCGGGTGGATATCGCGGCATTGTGGTTACTTCTGTGGTCGCAAGTGATGCTGCTTCATTTACTGTTATTTTTGCCGTTGCTTTTGTGCTTCTCGGCACCTGTTTGCATTTGGCTTTCGTTGCATTTTTGTTGAGCTTTTGTATTCAGCTTAATGTAATTGTCGCTATTGTGTTTTGTCTGATTGCTTCCGCTGGCAACACTCTCAGCAGCATCTTCGAAGACCCAGCTGAACGTATGTCTGGAGTTCTTCTGAAAGTGGAATATATTCAAGTTGGTGCATGTGAAGAACCCTTTTAGAGAGAGAGAGAGAGATTGGGTAGAGATTATTTTAATAATAAACACTCCATAATCAAAATAAGACTTGGGTTAATTCGGGCCAAATAAACAGAGAGAAGAGAGTTGCTTTAAACTCGAAAATGACTTTGAGAATCGTGCTAAAAACTGTATGGAATAAGGGCTTATAGCCTGTTTGTTCCCTGTTTGCTGGCAGCTCGATAACAGCCAACAGTTAGGAATTGCCAGATTGCCAGACACTGTTACCCCTCAGACCTCCTCCGAAACAATATTTGATACCTATTTTGGCTTGGCATTATCATTGCTTTCAGCATTTTACAGCGGCATGCTAACATCCGACACCAATT